ATTCTACGCCTAGCCGGTTTCAGTTCAAGTGTGGTAGTATTTTTTTAGCCAGCAACAGAATCGTTGTGCATTAGAGTGATGATCGGAAGTAAACTTTTTAAGCCCGTTTAGCCGATGCTGTCACCTGAATAGCGTCGCTAGTTTTGCAGTCAGTGTGGGAGAGTTAACAGTAATGCGTTAGAGTGGGTTTTCAAAGTTTACCAACAGAATGGCTTCATCCAGCTACGCGTGACCTTCAAGACCACCAGTTTCCACGAAGCATTGATTGTTTTTTTTACAACACGTGATCAGCAACACCGGTTACATAGACTGACTCGTAATGGGCAAGTTGATCGCAAGGTTGCACAGGCAAGGTCACTCGCTTGTCGGTATGCCATCTGCTGCCCTCGTGTTGAGTAATCCGCCTGTTGGGAACTAGTTGAGATCTCCGATTTTAGGACTGGGTGGCTGAGGACGAAAATACTGATCGGTGGTCCAGTCAGTTTAGCCGCTATTGTGCCCACAGGCACGATGCACACTCGAATGGAAATGACTAGTACGCTTGAACTGCCGAATTCAGCGTACACTTCTCTCAACGTTCATTTTAGTTCGGCAGTGGATAGTTTGCGCTTCCCTTACCCTTAGCACTATTCTGTTGCTGACTGCGTTTATTCATGCACTGTCGAATTGTCTTTACTCAAACGCGGCAGTCGCTTGTTGAGATGTTGGACTGGGATGCCAATCAAATGCCAGTGGCTTTTTCCTTTTAACTCGTTGCCATCCTTCACGCACTTGACGCCACAATATTCACTTGAGAGATGTCGCCGATTCTGTCTTCACCCAGATCCCATGTTTCTTTGATTCAATCGTGCTACAAGCTGCTGTTATTTGTCGCACTATTGGGCATGACATAGGGGGAACCCACGTTCCAAACACTGTTAATCTCCCTAAATCCTCAGCGTTGGAGAAAATTTCGATTTTTATGTGACTACAAAAATGTGACGATCCTTCAACAGTAGATTCGTACGGCTTTGTTTGGTTTTGATCTCATTTACGTTGTGCATCACACAATTACCTGGACCGGCGCCCCTTTGCTCTCAAATGCCCATTGGATGCACGGTCTGGCCTGGTGTGGAATACTTCGTGCGAGGATCTGACTGCGTACGCGTGGTTGAATTCATGCATTGAACCCTTTGTCATTACTAATTCGAAGAGTGCTTTCATTCATAGCAGTAGGGCTATTTAAACATAACCCAACGGTTTGTTTTATTGAATTCTCTCAAGTTTGATTCAATTGCCCTCCCAACGTCAACTTGCACCCAGGCATCGACATCGCTCAAGATCACGATCACGTAGCCCATCTCGTTCATACCGTCGAACAATGCGTGAGCCTCACGAGTCGCTCTCACGCCGGCATGATCGGAGTAGTTGGGAACGCAGAGTTCATCGACGTTCTCCTGGTCGTGATTACGAATACGATGAATATCGACGTCGTTTCGATCGAGCTCAGTATCGTGATTCTAGATCCGATCGAATGCAAACGTCGCGCCTCAGATACCGTTCAAACGAACCGGGCCAAGTAGATAGTGAACCTGACAGGGATCACATCTTAGAAAGACGGTATGTTAGAGACAAACATGCAAGGACTTCTAACGAACTTCGCCATGGATCTCAACATGAGGGACGTTCGGTGCGTTGCAGATCTCGTTCAGATTCTAGATCACCTATCCATCGAACCTATCGTGATCAGAGTGGACGCTATCTTGAACCAGACTTGAACCCAAGAAACATACGAGATACCCAGGCCCCACGAGCCAGTATTAGGTGAGTTTCATTTTTTGCCGTATTGATTTGTTCCGCTGTGTCTACTGTGAAGTTTCCATCGTCTACGGAGATCTTATTCTGGCACTCACCTGTAAGTGCCTTTTGAAGGAGTAATATCCAACTCCAACGTGAGAAATTTCCTCCGTCCAACGTCCCTGGTTTAATTCAGTTTCACAAACATTTAGTACTAACAATCCACTATTGCAGTCTCGTTTTTGCCGCTTATCTCCTGGTACGGGTTGAGATAGTCTTTGCTAACCTTGCTACTTTTTACCTTTACTTGGCGCTGTATATCTAGTGACGTCGCTTATCTCGACTGAAGACATGTTTGGCTGCGGAATTAACATTTCCCAGTATGAAATATTTCTTCCATATTGTCTGTCAAATGATGGTAGTGATGAATCGAAGGCTCATCCTTCCCTAGGTTTGCGGTTTGATGGAGATGGAAAACGTGGTACTGAACTCCAGTGAATTATTGATTTATTTTGGTCGCGTGCATTTAACGACGTTATCTGATTTCCATTCGGTCACGGAATTCCAGTGTACTTGATCCACACCTGGCCCTCTGATTTGTTTATATAGTTTGGTTGCTCGATGAACCCCAGCTTTCATGCCGCACATAATTTCCGTCAATCAGTAATCAGAAATGTCATCCAATTAGCTGCCATCTGAGTAGCGAAACAAGAAACCCATAATTCGCGTGCTTTATTCCCTACTTTAAGGTGATTGGTTTCTGAGGCAGTGTTAGCCGGTTTAAGCAGTGTCTAGGATGTACGCTTCCCAGGTTTGGCTATCGGCTACCTAAAATCCATGAACTGTGGTCCAATAGTTGGTTCCAGTGACGCACCTTGCAAACACCGTAGGGACCCTCTCATCTCGGCCGATTTTTATTATTATTCTCGGCGACAACGACATCCTTGGTATAGTGTAGAGACCATACATGTTTGGGAACAGTGTAACCGATGCCAAAACTGTCCTAAACGCCACTGAAGGAGCTGAGCTGGGCGTGGTTGGTCCTGACAACATTCTCCGATCTGATCATTGAGCACACCCCCTAGGTGCGAGCTCCCACCACACAGGTGCACCAGTGGCGAAGGATCCATCTTCGGTTACCCTCTTCTCGTAGGGGTGATGTTTTATAGTCACAAGTCAGGACTGGGTGGATTGCTGCTTTGGGGGACCGGGTTTTCATGCGTAAACTACCACAAGGGGGTTTTCTGCTGCATGAAGGTATGCCGCATACTGTCGATATGCCCATGAAATTATTTATCCTTCCCTTGGTGAGGCCCTTCGAGCTCGACGATTTACTGGGTTTTCTCACTTCGTTGAGAGGCCAGGTGGACATGCCCACTCAGCTGTAGAGAAACTCGGCTTCCGAAGTGTTGCTTTTCAACCCCACGAGTACTGAGCTGTGACTGAGATTTTCCACCACGCAATTATTCAACCAACAAAACAATGTCACCGGAACGGCTTAGGTGGGCTATCCAGGTTTCGGGACTTAACGAACGCAAAGATACCCGTTCAAGTGACCAGTCGGCAGCGTAGATAGAATACCGGTAACAATAAGTAACCTTGTACACCAGACACGATGCCGAATTTGGTGGTTACTTCGCCATATACTCGGATACGAAGCCTCATAGACCAATAACGAGTCCTGATGTGATTTACGAGTTTCGCAAGGTGTTAGGCAGGAATCCACACGGATCCCACTATACCGCACGTCTTTAGGCACTGCTACGGCCGATAAGCCTGGCCCGCTCGAGGTTGGCCCAGAATTCGGGACGCTTGCCGGTCCGGCATCAAGGTGAGATCTGAATGGTCAACAATGTGGACCAAACAGCCAATCATGACCCAGTATTGGCCAAATGCCGGTTGTCAATGGCGCATCCAGAACGCGTCAGAAATTCCAGAAAGTTATAACCGCTTACGCTATATATACGAAGCGCTGTACACCTGTTCTTGACTTCGTTTTGGGCATTAATAGACCTTGTGCACCTTTGGTGCTTGTTTTGACGTGAACGCTAGCTTGGGAGGTTTAGACCGAGAACTAAGCTGAGGAAAATACCGTTACTACACATGGACACCATCAGCTTGGAGATTTGTCTACAGCTATCAACGATTGATCGAATCGGATGCTACTCAATATTTAACAGAACATCCTGTAGTAGGCTGCAGAAATTTGAAAAGATGCTCTAATGCTTGGTCCAGATGGTCTCTTATGCGTGTTCGGAAAAAACGTTGCAGGTTGGGGGAAGCAAATATTTTATGCAGAAAAATCAATAAGTTTGATCCTGAAATAATTATCAGTGACGGTTTTATCAAATTTGGGATGGGAAATAATATCAAGGTTCCAGTTTCGCTTAACAAAATCAGTTTCATAGACTAAACAAGGACACTTTTGGACTGGTCCGAGAGGTTATGAAAAGCAGGTCACCTTTACTTTCATTGTCTTTGAGTAAAAAAATTGTTTCCCCTAACATCTTTTGCAATGTTGCTGGTTCACAGTGGCTACTTACCTACAGTTTACTGGAACTAGTTACCTGAATGAGTAGTGCTGTTATCGTGCATTCACGCGGTTCTTGCATCTTAGAGTACCTGTTAGATTTCCGGGCGGTTGGGTAGTTTTGTGTTGGTACCCTTTGGCGTACACCTCTTTCATCCATCAGCGGGTTGAATTTTAATCTAAGGTTACCCATCTGCTATGTTTCCTACATAAGATCTGTAATCTTCAGCTGTTGAGGCACCAGAATTTAGTCTGTCTGGAAAGCTGTGACAGTCGTTTAAGTACCACATCAGTGAGTGTCTCCTGGGACATAAAAGTGCATTGCCAACAGCGAGCCAACAGGGGGGAATAAAGTTTGTAGACCCATAATCAATTTCATACGGTTGGTCCAACCCGAACTGATCAGGTATATGACAAGTGCTGCTATCTCGACAGCCAACTCAGACGTCCCGATTACCCGCCTTTCCAGAATAGCTAGGCCTTGCAGTTGCGTTATTTGCCTAACCAAATTAGATGTACCAACTAATCAGCACAAAAAATGCTTTCAAACAGCCAGTTGGAAAGTCTCCTGGAGGGAAATATTTGGGACCTTCCTCCTACAACAGGTCTTACGTACAGCTAATAGCCGAGCAGTGCACCCACCTACCTGCATGGGAATCTTGTGGTACAACGCACCAGTGGCTAATAGCACCGATGGACAAAACTCAGGCACGCAGCCACTAACATCCAAGTTATCGCTTCAAATGTTCGGTTCCTCGCGTATCCTCCCTTGTTTTTGAATGAATGAAACTGTATGAGCTGGAATTAACGAATCTTAGTTCGTGAGTCACAACCCAACAGTTCAGCAAACTGAAGGGAACTTCACTTCCACTAGTATGTGGTCAGCCATCCGTCTACAAACTTTCGGCCTACGTTTCTGGTTCACTGAACACATCTTTTTACACCCTTCTTGTCCTCATTGCTTATCTCTGCCGTCAACCAAGCCACTTGATGATTGCCTATAAACCTCTAAGTAAATGTCCGCTGTGGCTGGTTAGCACCCGTAGATTTCGTGTCAACCCTGGTTAAAAATCCGAACAAATACGTCACAGAAGACACTGAGTGATTAGTCTGATATACTCATGGAATGTCTGTTTCCATAACCCCGTTAAGAGTATTACTTTCACTCAGCGAAAAACCTCGCATTAATCGCCTGAGTACACTAAGAGAAGGTAGTAGAAGTATCGCGAATCTTTGCTGTGGAAAATAACGAATCTCTTTGTTGTGATAACACTTGTTTTCTAAAGGAGATTCAAGTGAAACTTAATTTGCAAATGGTTGCGTAGAAATTAATGTAAAAGTACAACAGTGGGTTGATGGAGGTTCCTGGACTGATCTCATCTGAGGGCTCCGAGAAGGTATAAGATGGTAGACATTTTTCGCGTTTTTCACCAAACTTATAATTAGTCTCATGCGGGAGAATCTCTGTAGATGGTTATACCTGGATTACACCTGGTGGTTACCTGGATTTCTGAACTACTAGTTGTAATAGTCGCTCAGCTGTAGCACTCTTCCAGTGCCTTACCGCCGTGCCACCCGAAAGAAGCACGAGAGCTAGGATACTGCCAGGTTACCCAAACCTAGATAGGGAAGTCGAGAAACGGAGGTCAGGTGCGAACTACGGGCCTTCCGGTCAGTAAATCCGCGCTTTAACCTCGCACCTCACCAATTGTAATGAAATGCCTAATTTCCCTTATAAATGTTGAGCCACTGAACAGTTTAAACAGTATGGCTCCCTATTGATTCAGAGACGAGGAGAAGGAAAGAGTAGACAAAGAGCCCTCAATCTCTTCACAATAGGACTGACGGAATGTGTTGACGAGGCCCCCTAATCTACAGTAGCACACGATCATCCTTCAATGTTCCTCTGAGGTTATGTTGATCAAGTATAGAGGACGCGAAACGCGCGTTGACCTCACACACGTTTTCTGCCAGAAATACAAAACCCAAAAAAGAAACTTAATGCACCATAGTGTTTTCAGGGAAAGGGAGCGCTGGTAGTACAGTGCAAACATGCTAATTGTTGAGAAAGCAGCTGATGAATTTTGTAGAAAATCCCCGGGAGTTTGGCGGGCTCTGTTCACTACCGGATGTAGAACCACTTGCTATATCCCTGATAGGGCTAAAGCACCAATGTCAACACTGATCTGACTCTCTGTGGTTGCAACAACAGCAAAAGCTTGCTCGGGTCGACACGTGAAAATCAGGCTCCCGTTAAGTGAGAGATCAAATAGCTGTAAAAAGAAATCAACCAGCTTCCCTTGGATTTCTAATGTCCCAAGTTTTTAACAAACCGCAGCTGGCCGTTGGTTGGACACCATTCCAGGTGAGCGTCGCCAAGGGGCGATGCCATCGATATGTAAGTGCGGTGCAGTCATATTCACCCAGAGTGAAGTAGTCAAGTAACGATCTAAGGCTACGGATTTTATTATTCTTTGTCCAATGAAGGAACACCATGAGGAAAGTGTCACATGCACTAGTTCCCGCCCACTTGCATGAAGTAGATCATGCTTCTGAGTGGAGTCCATTTAGTTTGATTTTTCGGATGCGTCTTGCAGAGCGGACGCGCCTTGGAAGCCTTGAAAGGGACAAGACCGGAAAACGTATGAGCTAATAGATTATTCGACGTATTTGTATTACAATAAAGGCCCGATACCATTATCAGTCTTCACTTGGCAAACACAAAAACACCCCATGTGTATGATTGGTTTCAGGGTTTCGGTTGATTCTAGGATCGCCTTTCCCTAGACCAGTACTGATTCGTACAGATTGTCCTTTCACGAATGAACGGTACGCACTTGATCGGATGGAAAAAGTCGTTTAGGGCAAACTGTTTTTTCAAAATGTATTCTATCTCTTCGACTAAAAAGTGATAAATCTTTTCGGGGGTAGGGGGGCAACCCACACACGAAGACTCACAGACTTATCATGGTCTAATGGTGTGTATACCTATTGACTCATTGAGTGATACCAACAGGGCGTCCTACTATGCTGGTTAATGAATAAAGATACGCCAAATGCAGTCGCTCGCTGCCTTGCATTCGTTATTGGTTATGCGTTGACTGGAGTCGCCTGTTCGAACTAAAAAGCCTAACAGCGTGGGAATACTATTTTTCCGATTCCCATCGACCCTACTGAATAAGCCAAATAGCTATACTCTCCTTGTGCCATGTTCTCGGCACCCGATATACCCTAGACCGTCCTATTGGCTTCAGTAGCAGTTCCACGAGCTGGGCCAGTAAATATCATATCCTAAGAGCCTGGCACTACTGCGCGCATTAATTTCAGCTTGGAATCAGACGTCTCCGGTTGTCAAACCAGACCGCACTTTCATCGCCAGATGGGCCAAAGGTTACTGAATGGTCGTTTCATATTGACCTGAACACTAGAACTTACGAGGCGAATCTATCGCTTTTGTTTTGCTATGAGTTATATATGTAGCCAAAGTTGCACGGACAACAGGGGCCTGCTCAGTTCGTCTATTCTTCTTTGTGATGATTATCTCAATGGATAGGCCCAGTTTGCATCTGGGTGTTTGCCCGAAGGTGACCTACGTTTGCTTCACTTGGTGAACAGTGTGCTGTTCACCGTGGGATTTGTTATGGGAAGAAACGTTCAGTTATAATAATATAGGCTGGCTAGGTTTGTGAATTGAGTGTCACCTTAAGTTGTTGAAGATTCCATACATTGCCCAGCTCCCCTGAACATCATTTGGTGCTCCAAACTGTCACTGACTTTCACGGATGGTTTGACCGATAAAGCCAACCTACTAATTTCAAGTTGTTTGCCATCGAAGCATCAGTGCTGAACACTGGTGTTATGCTGTCGATGACTACAAAAAAAAACCATATCTCCAAAATACGACCAATACCACTTACCTTGCCGTAAATAGTTTATCGCGGATCCCAAATATTTGCCAGATCCGATTCATTGTCGACGTAGTATCGCCTCTTCTAGGTATCGCTTCACCTTTCATCAATAGTCACTCCTATTGACGATGACTGTGTTCTTACTCATATCCGTCTCCGTGATCACATTATTCCCACTGTCCTAAGTTAGCTAACTCTGTATACAGCGTATCACTACAGTGATACAATATTCTCGGCTTTTTGACTGTTAAAACGTTAGACCGCCCTTTTTCTAGTAGACAGCGTACTTTCCCAATTAGTAGTCTGTCCAATGAATTAACTACGTTACGGCAACCGGCAGACCGTCTACTTTTCCTGTGTGCATGCTAGAACACTGTGTTATGGAAGATAACTTCTAGCTATCTTTGCATTGTTAACCCTAGTGTATCTCGCTTCCGTTGCTCTGGTGTTAAACATCTAGAAACCTTTAAGTGTCGTCGCTGGATAGTCACAGAGTGGTTTCAGAATAACTGCTTCGCGGTTGCCTTTCGGAAGTGAATATCAGCAGTCGGCCGAAGTACCCAGCACCACCCGACCGCATTTCACTTGACCTGTCCGGCCCAATTGTCTGCTGATCAACGAAATTCGTAAAGGGCACCCAACGGGATTCATCAGTTTAACTGTCCTGAATCTGAAGAACAAAACCTTGATTCCAAATTTTTTGTCGAAAACCAAACATCATCCATTAACAAACCTAATGACCGTTTTCTAGATTTTTTCCCAAAAGACAAGTGTTTACTGAATTTTGCCGATATGATTCGAGGTTTGTGTTGGAGAAAGTAGGACTTGGTGTGATAAATTCATCGACTAGGCAAACCAGCCAGAGCCCTGCACAGTGGGATCGTCGACAACTCGTAATCCACCCACGGGATCAGTTGACATTCACGGAGTGGAAAGCCGAGATGTTATTTGGCTACCCATTAACATGACAAAACACTTCTAAAACTTTCGAAGACTTAGTCCGCACATTGCGCGTATTGTACTAGGGCAACAGTGACAGAAAGTGTCACGTACTATTGACAAATCTCAAATTGGTGAAAAGGTTAGCCAGGAAACTGGATGCGATTGAGGTCAGTCACCTAAAATAGAACGGCGCTTCCAGCCAACGTTCAGCACTTGTTTAATATACCAATGGAAAGCGCTCCTGTTTGTATGGCTTTCCGTCTGCTTTATGACTAACCCAGTAACCTACCCATGGCCTGGTGCGTCAAAATAGCAATGTCGCCCGGTAATCAACCCACTAAGTATTTATTGAAACCTCCCTGAAACTATTTCACGATCGATTTCGAACATTTTACAAGTGTTTAAGAGGCGAGTAAACTTTCTCAAGATCTATGCCATCAAAGTGCGACTGACGTATACTTAATTCTATCATTGAACCTCCTCTTAATCCCTGTCACCCTTTTCTCTCTAGCCCGGTACCAATCTCCGTCGTGCCACAGTATGATGAAACTTCAGAACCGGAATCAGTTGGTAAGAAACTGTATATATAAATGCATTCTTGTTTAGATTCTAAGGTGGTGTCTCATCAGGAAAACGGTCCCGAAGAATTTCAAGATCACGTTCATCGTGATTCTGATGACCGTGATAGTACGCCCTTATGGATCGAGGCCCCTGCAACAAATTCTGTAGCAGCCAAAAATGGCGGGTATGTTTCTTATCAAAGCATCATTCCTCCTCTCAGATCACTTCCTCATACCGGTGAAGTGGCTGGAGAAATGCTGACCGAGAAGAGAAACAAGAAGGAGAAAAAACACAAGAAGCACAAGCACAAACACCGATCTGAGAAAAAGTAAGACGTGCTGATGTACACCTAACCATGCTTATACAATTAGAAAGGAAAAACGGTCGCGCATTTTACAAGCTCTTGAAGCAAATCCTGAGTTGTGGGTCACAAGTGACCATCCGGCGCAGGATGCTGGGGATCAGAATGCAACCGTTGCTGAGGCCGTGTCAAAGAAGCACAAGAAGCACAAAAAGCATAAACACGAGGATAAACTCAAAAAGAGAGCGCACAGTGAAAAACACCAGGTTGCCACCGAAACTACTTTACCATTTTGACACCGATCCTCCTGAACAGCTTTTTGTACATATACCGGTCCTCCCGTGTACATATTCTGCTCTATTTGGAATATTTTTTATTTGTTCCGTTTCGGCGAGATACATGATTCCGAGGGTGTAGTCTTTGTGTTTTTATATATTTTGAGTGGCCAATGGCTTGTAGTCTGATTTACCATTACAGGCAGTACCGTTGTCGATGGCAATATATTGCAAGTGTGTATAGGCTCCTAGCTGCCAAATGGCCGTAAAGATAGAACGTCACAGTAGAGTGGAACGGCGCGACAGCAGCAAATGTCATGTACCTAAGGAACAGTAAGGAAAACAGTGGAGTAAACATCCGAATGTTTCGTCAGGATGAAAATCTGATTGACTCAGTATCCTTTCGAACCTCGGCCTACACACAAGGCACATCACAGATAATCTTCGACGGGATAGTTTATCCCACTATGAGGCTAAAGTTTGCTCGCCGCTGGATTTGGCCGTTGTCTTGTATAATGTAGGATCTCCAGCTTGCAGCGATGCGAACCTCTGTCCGAAAAGTGTCAAAATCGCAAACTACCCAATTTGGCAGTGACCCCTTTCGTTTCCCATCGCCAGTAGTCGCGGACGATGTTTACTGGGTTAGTGGTGGTTAGTATCGCTTCACTTCTCTATGTTGAAACATGCTGATGGCGCGGAACGCCCAGCTATCGATCCCAATGCGCTCGCAGTTTTCACTGTGCATTGAATCGCATCAACTTGTGAATTTAAGAAGTCTAGGCTCTGTCGCCATTACACTCATCTCTGAATGTTCTGGTCATCTTAACCAACTGAGACGGTCGTTCCCAACCGGGGATGCTCGGTCCCATTGATGATCGAAATCGTGAGGTCAGTCAAATTTGGATCTCTCAGTACTCACCAGGTTTGACGACCGTAGACGCGAACGTCTAAATGAGAATTTTATTTGCGCGTCGTATGGCTTTGACTTGTATCCACAAGAGCAACAGAAACACGACAGCCTAACCTAACTTAAAAGTAGCGTGCAACCATAGATATGCTCCCTTAGTGGAAGTTTCGAGCCAGTGGTACAAGACGAAGGGGGGCATTCATGCATAGATATTTTCTTGACTTGGAAAGAAGACGTAGAAATTTCAAGACAGCATTTATACTTGAATGGCGGCAGTGTCAAGTAATATTTGACCGTAACAGACGCAAAAGCAGGTTGATGTATCGAAAATGTTAGTTGCCTGGATGCTTGGCGGTAATCCAGATTCCTTCCAGAATAAGTCCTTGTGGTGCGTTCTCATCCCTTTCATTCTGGACAGCAATGCATCGGTGATATTTACGAGAGAATCAATGGGCTGGCAGAGAGGGTTTGGGAAGCACTACTGAGTAGTGTGTCCGCGGTGTCATTGCGCAACGGCTAATGTGGGGTGGGACTGGAGTTATATATTCAGGTATCTGGAAGTATTGTGTCAGGCCAGCGAGGTGTGGGTAAATAGCCTCCACCGTGACAATGTAAATGTGCAACAGCGCGATATGTCACGACGATCAACGCGCCACATGTCTGAATCCGAAGCCCAACAACTGGGGTGCCTGTGTAATTCAAGTAACGAAGGCCGGTGCGATGCAGCGTAAATGGGCGGAATGGGTAGCCGACAGTTTCATGTCAACAGATGGAAAAAAGGAATCCTGTCATTCGACGAAGTAGCGGGATGGTGAACTGACCGGAAGCTTGTGGTTGGCCAACCATTCAGCTATCATGGGAAAAGTTAGGACTAATTGAAGTGGATTATTCTCAACAATAAGTCCCATTAGACTTCGCTATGATGATGAGATGGTGAGAACAGATAAGGGCGTTTTAATGTCCGTCCAAAATGGTAGGTATATTGTTGGACCACATCACGTTACTATGTTCCGGCATTTAAAATACGTCTTGATACACTTCGCGATGACAGCATCTGAGCTTAAAATGTCTTGCTGGGCGTGTGCAACCGTTCGGTTCCATGTCACCAGTTGGACACTGCTTCACCTGACTTCATATCCTTAGATTTCTGCCGAGGCACCTCAACATTCCAATCCAAACTTAGTTCTGTTAGTGAAATTGGTCGATCCGGAAAGACACTGTGAGTTTGTGTCATCTTCATTGGGAATCATTATCAGTGTGCATTCCGTGAATCTCGAGGGAAATTCGTGGTCGCATCCTCCTGCTTAGTAGTTGAAGTCTACCTTTTGACCACAAGCGGCTGATCGGCCACTGTTCAACTGCTAGATGGGAGGTCTCCTTGGAGATTCGTAAGTTGCGCACTGCTGATGTTTCCCGATAGGGACGAAATAACCGTACATTGCCTCTTAGTTTTCTGGCGTAGATTGACTTCACTTAATGAATGAAACCTCCATTGAAATTTCCAACTTTCCTCTACTTCAACATTCTTGTCCGACCGGTCAGGAAATGTTGTCCGTAGGATTTATGCAAAACAACGGAGATGCACGGACATGAGAAAGGTGCAGACAAGTATTCCGTAGCCTAACCTTCTTCAGGCCATTCCCTTCTCCTCCGTGTTGTCTGAGTAAAAACAATAGTGACGTAAAATGAGTGCTTTCTATTCAAACCAAACGGAAAACGGGCTCGCAGTCAATACACAAGAACCATGAGCCTTTAAAACTGTAGCCCACAGTTCTCCCTGAATTGGTCTCTAGGTTGATGAACACTGGTGTAGGCTCGCATGTAACATACTGCCTTTCCACCCGGGGAGACATGAACATCAGAAGGTACTAGGAGTGGACGTGTTGTCTCCTATCATCCCAAACCGACTCTCCATAGATCCATACTTTTACAAATTAGGGGGATCATCAGACATAATAATAGTAGACATAATAATAATAGTTCAGTTCCCTACTGTAATTATCCCTTCCGACACCAGAATCATCCTTCGGTCATCGATGTATTAATTCAGAGCATTCTTGGAGTTATGTTAACGAAGAGCCACACGGAAATAGGAGAATCAGTGCGGGGCTTTTACCAAGGGTTCTCCCAATGATGCCGTCCATACGATCACCTGGAAACATGATCGTAGAGGTTATCATAAGGAGATTTGAGCCAACAGTGCTGATCATCCCTTGTAACTAGTTAGACTGGTAGGCGGTATTTTTCATTGTAAGGTTCCCTCTATCTTCAGGTTTTCCAGAATCTAATCGGCCGAACGCTCTACAAGGGGTTGGTCTAACAATTAGTTGTGTTTTTGATATTAGGTAGGTGCGTACAACGTGTTTAACCCACCTCAAAACTTATCACCCTACGACAATTAACTGCGGTTGACTCTGATCACAACGGTCAACGAATGGACATCATCTGTGGGCTATGAAGTGACATACGTCTGTCGACTGCGAACACCAGCCTTTCATTTATGAAAAAAACCGAATATATGCCAATTCTGAACTGCTTGTAATAATTCGGTTTGGAAGTAACCCATACTCAAAATCAATGTATAAACCTCCTGGATTGTTTAGTAAGAAAAATGCGTGTTCATAACACGAGTTTGGGCTGTAACAACATTTCGAACCTTTGTATCGAGATGTATGATATTCACACAGGATCCTGCACTTTGTTTTACAGTATTCAGGTCCGTTCATCAACTTTCTGGGCTCAGGTGGACCGACTTTCGCCTGGATAAGGAGGCGGTGGCTCCTGAATAGTGTGGGATAGCCACAAGAGCATTGTGCGGGCCGTACTTCACCCGCTGGTGAGAACAGTTGTACGGCAGTGAAGCATCGGTGT